GGTGCAGCAGGTCACCTGTAGATATGTGTAGGTAATTGGTTAGGTTATGCGAGGTAACCGCAGGATGTCAGGGTCATAGTTTAATTGTTTATAGCTTTCACAAAAAGAACTTGAATAAACAGAAATCACTGACATGACCTTGCCTAAGTGAAAAAAAATATATATATATATTAATTATATCAAAAAATTTATATAAATTTAATAAAAACTTATTTTTATAAAATTGTAAAAATAGGCTATTTTAATATATAATACTTTATATATTTTTTTAGTATTAAGATGAGGCCTTACTTATATTTTTATTAGTAATTTTTGTAATAAAGACAATATAGTTTACTAATATTTAGAAACTAACAAAACTACTATTATTCATATTAGTACAAATAAAAAATAAAAAATTATATGTTTTAAGAATAAGAGCTTATATATAAAAATATAATTTATTTGCAATCTAAACCTACTAGAATAGCTAAAAACCTATTTAGATTGAAATAGACAAGATATAATTTAAAGAAATGCTATATTTAATCTAATAAATAACCAAATATTAATTTGTTCTTTAATTTATTCAACTAGTAGACAGGTTTCTAAATAAGTATATAGTTAGTTAGATAACTTGCAAAAGTAAAAGTAAAATATTTAATATATATATATTAAGTAGTTTTGGAAGTTTGAGTAATTAAAGTTTAAGTTGTATTATAATTTTTAAAAAATAAATAGGTTAAATTTTGATGCTTCTCCAACTAACCAAGTTTGTAAAGTAGAGTTTTCAGATTTGTTTATATAGTTGTTTATTAATTTTAAGCAATAGATTAATAATTATATTAGATACTGTCTTGTAAAAGATATCAAGATTTTAGATAGTTTGAATTATAGATTTAGAAATTAATTCTTTAAGAATAAATTCTAAATAATATAAATATAGCTGAAAAGCTATATTGTTAAAGGCATGATTTTTTTGAATTTTATAAATTAGATCATTTAATTAGATATTAGTAAGGTCTAGATTTGTTGCTATGAAATAGTTCTAAATAGTAAAACAGATAATTTGACAAAGTAGTGTTGGGCTAAAGCAAGTATACTAATGTGAAGGTAAATTAGTAGTCTTATAATAGAAATAATTATTTTTATAAAAGATATAAGAATATAAACTCTAATAAAGTGAATGTATCAGTAGTTTATTTAGTAAGTTTTTATTTAATGATTTGAATTGATTGAGTTTAAATTTGTAAGGTTATAGGTTTTAATTATAATTGAAGTAGAGCTCTGTTAATTTTTAATCATTATATTAGTTAAGTAAAGACTAATATTGATTGCTTTTTTGAAATAATTATATTTTTAAAATATAGGCTTTGCAGATAGTTTTAATAAAATATCTAGTAGAATATTTGACAATATATGATACAGATTAAAATAAAATCAGATTAAAATAAAATGTGAACCTTTCTTACTTACCCTTAAAGCTTATAAAATTTACATATACTTGTTTATTAATAATCCTAACTCTAAACTCTAACTTTAGTGCTAAAAAACCCAAAAAATAACATCTAAAAAATTTTAAATTTTTCTTAAAAAATAAAAAATTTTATTTTAATCTAATTTCACATTATAGAATATGAAAAAGATTGTATATATTGATGTAATTAAAATATAATGATCTCTTAAATATATTATTTTTAGCTAGTAAGTTGGCTAGGTTATTAAAAGTATTATCTGAATAAGCTTGAACTTTATAGAATGTTATTTGTAAATTATAAGTTTTAATAATTTAAAAGAATATACTATAATAGCTAGACATTAAATTTAAGAAGCTTGTTTAGATTAAAAAAAAGATTATAAGTTTATTAGATTTGAATATAATAGATTGAAAGTTTGAAAAATAATGATAGATAAGTTTTTTGGTATAGTGGATATTGCAAATAAAATAGAGCAAAGTTTAGCTTTGTAAGAGGTTTATTAAGAATAAGTTTAAGCAAAATATTGGTGAGCTATTTGGTTATTATTGTCAATTTGGATCTACTCTATAATCATAAAACATTGGTTAGTACCTATATTAATAATAAAACTCTCAGTATGAAGTTGATGTAATATTTTAAATATATTTAATTCTGTTTAATAATCTTTAAAAAATAGTGTCTTTAATCTTGAAAATTAAGTTATAGAACATAGTAAATCATATATTTCATATTTGTTTTTCAAGACAAAAACTCCAAATATTAATATAAATATTTATATAATAACAAATAAATAAAATATTAATTAACTAATTAAATATAATTAAAATATTTAGATAGCAGATTAGTAAAAATCAGTTAATACTACTAAACTAACTAATATACTAACCTAAAAAATTTTATATAAGCAATTAAAATTTAGAAACATTTAAAATTTTTTAAATTTTTTAAATTTTTAGCAAAGGTTTTTTAATATATATTTTGTCAGTCATTTGGAAGCTATGTGACATAGGTTACACAAGATTTATATATAAATTATATATAAAATCTTCAAATAGTAAATGTAGAAATTTTTAAAGAAATATAAAGAAACTTTTTTTTTACTAAGTAAATTACTCTTGGGCTTATAATGAAAGTTGTAGAGCTTATCAAGACACATCTAATAGTAGTAAGAATGTTAAGATTGGTCTGGTAGTTCTTGAGAAATCTTTAAAAAATGCTTCACTAACCTATAAAATTTCTTTAAAAAAATTAAAAGAAATTTTATATGTTGATAAAATGTTTTTTTTAAAGATTTCTTAAGAACTACTAGGCTGATTTTAACATTCTTACCACTATTAGATGCGTCTTGATGAGCTCTACAACTTTCATTATGAGCCTAAGAGTGATTTACTTAGTAAGAAAAAAAGATTTCTTTACATTTCTTTAAAAAATCTCCACATTTGGCTCAATAGTAAAATTTACTCATAAAATTTGCAGATCCACTCCAGATGACAGATGAATTGTCTATTAATAATTATTTGATCAGATTTAATAAAAATTTTTATTTTTAATTTTGTATTTTTGTAAAATTAAAATAAAAAAAAATTTATAAATTTGTTTAGTAGTTATCAAAATATTTTAGTAAAAGTTTAAAAAAATTAAAATATCTTAAAAAAAAACTACTGTAAAATTAAACAAAATTTTTTTCAAAACTTTAAGCAAAGATTTTAATAACTATTTATCTAAATTCAAAAAAAAATTTTTTTATTTTTTATTATTTTTTTTAACTAGCCTCTTTAGAGCTATAGTTTTTATTTATATATTATTAAGTAAAAACTCAGCTATTAGTCTCAAAAAAATCTTTTATATTAAAGAGTATATACTTATTACATATATATTTTTAGTATTTATTTTAAGTAGTACTTATATTATAAATTCTATACTAGATGCTAAATTTGTAACTTATTTGCAGATATTATCTATTTAAATGCTCTGTAATGCAACTTTGCTCATATTACTAATATATCTCTATTATATTTGTCAACTAAGAAATTCTAAATTTTAAACTGTTTCTTTAGAACTAATTTATTCAAGATATTATTGCTAAAGCTTTTTTATAATTTGGCTAATCTAGACTTTAGTAACTTATACTGAGTCTGAGAATAAGTACTTGTAGCCTTTTACTTCTACTACTATTATCTACTTCTGCTCTTGTAAAGTTTATTCAAGTTCTAGTATATACTTTATAGATTATTAAAAGTATTTATAGCTATCTTCAACTTTTAATTTAGATAGTTCAGAAGGGCTGTAACCTGCTTTTGGTCTTCATAGTTAAGTTTTTCTTTCTAATTACTTCTCTGATAGTTTAGTTAGTAAAGTACTTTGCCAAATACTTTGGTTTTGTTTATTTTGCTAATTCTTTAGATAATAATTCTTTATATAATTCTATTAAAGATTTGTGCTACTTTTTTACTCAGTTCTTGTTAAGTATGATTTTATATCTTTTAATCTACTAGTTTTATATTGTTGCTTCATTTAAATTTTGTATAATTTATATATCACATTATTATTCTACAACCTCTCAATACAAGCTAATATAATTATATTATAAATACAAATCTAATAGTATGTAGTTTTCTATAATATATGTGAGGGACCAAGATGAGGAGAGACTAAGTTGTGATGCGCATGGAGATATGTGACTGCCTTTCCAGCGTGAGATGGGCCATATTAGACAGTCCTTGACCCCTTTTTACATTTTTTCATTTCAACCCTTTTTTTTTACTTTTTGCTTCAACTCTTTTTTTTCTCGTGTTTTTTTTTTCTTGTGTTTTTTTCTTGTGTTTTTTTATTGTATTTTTTTTATTCGCATTTTCTTTTTTCTTTCTCTTTGTTTTTTTTTTCTCTTTTCTTTTCCACTCCTTCTCTTTCTTCACTTTTCATTTCCTTCTTTCTTTATTTCTTCTTTCTTTTTTTGCCTCTTTCTACACACTCTTTTCTTTTCCGCTCTTTTCATCACTCATTCTTTTCTTCGCTCACTCTTTTTCTTCTTTGCCCTTCCTTTTTTTCTTTTATTTTTTCTCCATTTCTCTTTTCTCTGCTTCTTCCCTTTTCTTACTCTTTTCTTTCTTTATCCCTTTTCTTCTTTTCCCATTATTTCTTTCTTTGCCCCTTCTTTTTTTTTCTTCACTTATACTTTTCTTCCCACCTCTTTTTCTTGCTTCATCCTTTCTTTTCTTTCTTCACCCTTCCTTTCTTACTTCGTCCTTTTCTTCTTTTTTCGCCTCTTATATTTTTCTTCACCCTCTCTTATTTTTTCAGTTTATTTTCTTTAATCACGCATTCTCTTTCTTTCCTCACTCTTTCTCTTCACGGTTTCTTTTTTTTCATTCATTCTTTTCCTTCATCTTTACCATTTTCTTCTTTCTTTTTCATTCATTCTTTTCTTTCTTCCCTTTACTTATTCATTCTTTTTTCGTCCTTTTTTTTTACATACTTTTTTTCATGATCTTTCTTCTTCTTTGGTTTTTCTTTTTTTCGTTCTTCTTTCTTTCTCTTTTCGCCTCACCTTTTTTCTTCACCCTTCTTTTCTGCGCCCTTTTTCTTTTTTCTTTTTATTCGTTCTTCTTTCTTTTCCTTTTTGCCTCGTCTTTTTTCTTCGCTCTTCTTTTCTGTGCCTTTTTTCTTTCCTAACTTTTTTTCTTTTCGCCCTTCTCTTCTTTCTTTTTTGCCCTTTTTCTTTTTTATTCTTTCTTTTCTCCCTTCATTCTTCTTTTTTCTTCGTTCATTCTGTTCTTCCCTTCTCTTTATTCTTTCTTCATCTTTCTCTTTTCTTTTTTTTCTTTCTTTATCTCTTCATTCATCCTTCTTTTTCATCATCCTTTCTTGTCTTTCTTTCTTCACTTTTTTTCATTCCCTTTTCCTTTTTTTGCCCTTTTTCTTCTTTACTTTTCTCTTCCTTTTCTCTCTTATCCTTTTTTATCTCCCTGTATCATTTCATCTTTTTCTCTTTTTTTTTTCATCCCTTTCTTCTCTACTTTTTTTTTTCTTCGCTCTTCCCCATTCTTTTCACCCTTTTTCATTTTTCGCATATTGTTTTTTGCTTGTATAATTACATAATCTTTGCTTATTCTTTTTTAAGATTAGCTCTTTTTAGTATTATGCATGATTGAAGGTTCAGATGCATAGAACCAGCGAATAGATGTGTATGGGTATTTTAATATTTGGTTAGCCCAGTATTTTTTGCTATTTTATTGCATTTCCAAATATAGAAATATATCGTAGTAAATTAAGTGTGAAATAATAAGACAATCCCCCTTCTTATAGAAATGAGACTATTTTATAAAACAATGCGCTTTGGTATTAGATTCATTATTATTAAATAGATAACCAACAGATTTTACTATTCAATTCAATGGCTAATAAATAATGAATCCAAACTCAATTTGGCTTACCTTGAGACTTTTTTTATAAATAAACTAATTAATGTTCTTTGGATTTTCAAATATAGAAATATATCGTAGTAAATTAAGTGTGGATTAATAAGACAATCACCCATAGAAATAAGTACTATTTCATAAAACAATGCGCTTTGGTGTTGGATCTTATTATTAAATAGATAACCAACAGATTTTACTATTCAATTCAATATCTAATACATAACGAAACCAGGCTCAATTTGGCTTATCTTGAGACTTTTTTATAAATAAAATGATTAAAGTTCTTTAGATTTCCAAATATAAAAATATATCGTAATAAATTAAGTGTGAAATAATAAGACAATCACCTCTTCTTGTAGAAATGAGTACTATTTCATAAAACAATGTGCTTTGGTGTTGGATCTGTTATTATTAAATAGATAACCAACAGATTTTACTATTCAATTTAATACCTAATAAATAACGAATCCAGGCTCAATTTGGCTTATCTTGAGACTTTTTTTTATAAATAAAATGATTAAAGTTCTTTAGTTCTTCCACAAATACTATATATCTCATTATTACTTCATTTCATAATACGGACAATGAAATAAAATATAATCAAAAAATTATGCAGCTCGGCGAAACCACATTTTTATCATTATTGTACTTTTTTAATGATATATACATTACGTACTTGATTATATTATAAATACAATTGTAAAAAAAAAATTTTATTAAAAAAAACTCTCTTTAACTATTACAAAAAATTTTGCAATGGTTTACAAAGCCAATTTTCCAAAAACACCTGCTGCATATCAAAACATCATTACCTATCTTCGTGATAGAATTATTCCATTTACAATAAAATCAAAACATCACTGAACTCTTAAACGTAAAATGCAACGTTGGCATCTAAGAAATGACCTTCTCTATGTTCAAGTTCCAAGCCAACAATTACATCGATTTGTACCTGCATGGGATACAGACTTTCTTCAATCCCTCTTTCATCAATTTCATATTCAAGACTGTCACATTAATGCTAAAGACTGCTATAAAAAAATTTCTGATCAACATATTGGTATTACAAAAAAAGAAGTTTATGAATACGTTCATAACTGTAATACATACAACCATTTGTCATCAATAAAAGAAAAGAATGACTTAACTCCTGTTGTAAGCCATGGTCCAATGGAACATTTACAAATGGACCTTATTGATTTTTCTGCCTATAAAGATATGAATGGTGAATTCTGTTGGCTTCTTATGATAGTTTGTATTTTTTCAAAGTTTTTATGGGCTATTCTACTTAAAACAAAGGAGCTGGATGTAGTTGGTAAAGCTTTGGTCTCTCTTTTTGCTCAGTGGGGTGCACCATCGATTCTACAAAGTGATAATGGCAAAGAATTTACTACCACTATTATTAAGCATATTTGTAAAACTTTGGGAATTCTGATTCGACATAGCCACCTACGGCATCCAATGTCGCAAGGGCAGGTTGAGTGTTTAAATCAGACAGTCGGACGTGGACTAACTAAAATGTTGTGGAATAAAGAGCTCCAATTACAAAATGTTAATTGTAAAGATAACTTACCTAAATTTGTTTTTTCTTATAATACTACTATACATAGTGCCCATGGTAAAACTCCCCGTGAAGTAATGTTTGGTCATAAACTTCATGGAGTATATGAACAGTTTAATTCTGATAATTCTGTTGAAATAGAAGTACAAGAAACTCAAATAATTCCTCAAGTCATAGAAGCTCATTTGGAAAAGGTTTTAACAATCCATAATGAAGTTAATACCCAGTTAGAAAAATCTCGAAAGTATATGCTTAAACATGCAAGTATTCACTATCGCAAGAATCTTTATGAGCCAGGTCAAATGGTTGCCATAGCCCCCAATACTGATATGAATCCATCAACAAGAAAAAGAAAAATCTAAACTACTTTTAATGAAACTGGAACTATAGTTAGTATGACCAACAATAATAAAACTGTTGTTGTTGAGATATCTGAAGGAAAAAAAGTTCGATATCCTGTGAAAAGAGTTCATCAAATTAAAAAAAAATAATAAGGTAATTTTGTATATATGTATGTATATACATAACTCTATTTTATTAACCTTTTTTTGTGCCTCTTAGTTGTGTCAACTTCATTAGCTGTTTCATCATTGTCATCCGAATCTGCTGTGTCATTTTTATCTTCCTATCATCTTAGTTGGCCATGTGGGCGCTTTGCAGTAGAAAGGGCGGAAACTACCCCAAAAATGAAAAATGAGTTTTTATTAGATTTGGGTATATTTC